AAAGAGTAAAGGGGGTCGAGAAGCAGTTACGACGTGGACAGGACGCTCACCTTGTCCAGCGCAACAGATGTCAGCCACGCGCTTGACTGCATATGGTGTGTGACCGGCCCCTGCTGTCATCTGGCTGGTGATGCCACGTGGATAATCATGTCGAGCAACCTGGGGACCGGAGTATGTGCGTGTTCGTGGGGTGGGTAAACCCACCATACCTCACTTTACGCACCCTTTATTTAGCTTTTGCCAAATTTACGCTCGCATTCTGAATGTTTCCACAGTAACACATTCACTCGTTGTGGGCCACATAAATAGCGTGGAAGTTTGTTGTATGCTGATCACGGTCTGAGTGTCCTTTCCACCCATAGATTAGGCCTGCTGCTTTACCTAGGAGCTCCATAATCCGGTGTGCATCATAGCACAGAGCTGTAAGACACCCACACATGGTTTCATCCACATGCATCTCACAGCTGCTGCCCCCCCCCCCCCCCCTCCCCCCACCAACGTATACGCGTTCCTCATACTTTTGCATCGCTTCGAAAAAGGGGGAAGGAAAAGCGCTGTGGAATCTGAGTAAGCGCTGCGGTTTGGGCTGGGCTTGCATGGGAGCAAGCGTGCCCAAAAATGGAAATAATCAGCCCCTCGCGCTGCCGCTGGAAAACTCCTTTCCTCAAGTTTTTCTCGCACAGTGAAGCTCTGGGCTTCTAGTTTCCTGATTATGTCATCGGCAGACTGCTACTGGTCGAAATCAAATAAAGGGAAGGTATGCAGGGCTCATGTCAAGTGTGAACAGGAAACTGGGCTTTCTCAGACATCAGAGGAGGACAGCATCTAATGCTGCTGCTTCTTTTAATCCTTTTCAGTCTACTGGCTCTACACCCAGCAGATTATGAGAAGGTGGGCCCCTGGGCACAGACAAATTAAAGGCCTCCACCCCTGTATAGGACCACAAGTCGTTTTGTGTGTCTTTATAGTTGCTCTGTGCCTTTTTATGGTAGTGTAGCATCTGTCTGTGATAGTTTTGGGTTTCTTCTTTGTAGTTTTGCATCTTATTTAGATAATTCTGTGTGTCTTTGTAGTTATTGTGGCTCACTTTAGGATGGTTTCTCACTTTTTTCTGGTCATTTTGTGACTGTGGGCCCTGTTTGCATTGTAGTCTTTTCACTGATTTCAGTGACTTTCTAATTAGAAATATTCACATTCACTTAATGCAGAGTTGGCGTCCGAGGTTTGGGTTGGCTGGGCACTCGGCCCCGGCCACTGCCCAAAACACAATGCACTGGCCCCTTACGGCCTCTCCAACAGGTGGAGGACCCACCGGAGAGTGGCTCCATGTTATGGTTTCGGGCTGTAGGCCTGGCCACCAGGTGCTCTCATGCGCAGACACCCCCCAGGCCTGGCTCCAGGGTGGGGCCCCGGTGACCGGGCGGGGTAAACATGAGCCTTGATTTTTTTTTATTTTTTATTCATCATAAGTGGCCTATGAACCGCCCTTTGTCTGGTCTGTCACCCAGGACCTGTTTGCCATGAGAGACCCTACCAGGGACATATAGCTCCCGGGATCATTCAGGCACTCAAACCCCTCCACCACATTAAGGTGTCGGTTCCAGGGAACCAGTTGAGGTGGCTCGGTCACCTGTTTAGGATGCCCCCTGGGGAGGTATCTCGGGCATGTCCCTCCGGGAGGATGCCTCGGGGCAGACCCAGGACACGTTGGAGACACTTTGTCTTGGGGTTCCTCCTTAGGAGCTAGAGGAGGTGTGTGGGGAGAGGGAAGTCTGGGAGGCTCTGCTCGGACTACTGTCCCCGTGACCTGGTCTTGGTTAAAGCAGACCAAGATGGATGGATGGATGGACTTAATGCAGAGGCTCTGGCATCTGGCCCAGACCCCCTGACCTCTCGGGTTGCCGGGCCTGTGCCCCGTAGGCCCGACAGTTCAGTTCACACACCCCTAGCTTGATCACAGACCTTAATGAGTCCATGGTGAAGTATGTTACTCTGGAGACCAGCACATTTCTGCACCTAGATGACCCTCATTGCTCTCATCATTCAACAGAGAGCAGGGATGTTTTATTCATGTGATCCTCTCCACAGAGAGCAGTGAGAAGTGGTGGAGGTCTGAGTAGCATAAATACACAGACAAGTAGAGGCTGAGAGGGATGACAGCCGCCTGGCAGGCTTGTGCCTCTGTCCTCGGCCTCAGGGAGAGCATAGTTAACTGTCACACACATGCACACTCACCCATTCTTCTACATGTGCGCACATAAAACACATACCACTCAAATTCCTCTCATGCCTCGGCAGTAAGCTATGGTGCTGATGAACAGATAACCCAAAAGCCTTTTCATGTTTGCTGAGTCTTTAACAACATTATTATAAGAGGGATATGTATGATTTTGATATTTTTAGTTTTAATTCAGCGTTTTAATTTATGATGTTGACTGGTTGAAGTGAGACACAGAATAAATGTGCCAGAACAAGAAAGAAAAGCATGAAGGAAAAATGATAACAGTCGGTCATTTGCATGTTTTTGCTGTTATACTGTGGACTGCAGGCACAAATCAGCAATCAAGCATGTAACTGGAATTGTAATAGCTTACAGTTGTTCAGTGCTGGAACCATCTGTGCATCCCTGCATGTTGCTTTGCTACGGCATGAAGTGCGTTCATGTGTTTGTCAAGACGCAATGATTGGACATCAAACGCTGTAACACAAAAATGATCCTATTTGGGTTCCAAAGACAAAAAAAACCCTGTCAAAGCAGAGTGTTTCAATGCTGTTTTAATGTGTACAATTCTCCTAAGATAGACTCTAACTGAGAAAAAATACAAACAGATAGAGGAGGACAGATTTCTGCAGGTGAGCGCCCTGTTTCAGGCCCTGTTTAGCAATTCACTTTGACGCACACGAACCCAGCATGTCAGAGAGTGTTTAAAATATTTTGAGTCTGATGCAAGTCTTAACCTGACCCTCCAGTAAAGGCAGTGGTATTTTCTTATCTAGGAATCTTCATGTTGTAGCCGACCCAGGTGTGTCGTCCCCAGTGTGCCAGAGGTTACACAAATCTGCATCTCCCACATAAGGACTTCTGCTTTTTCATTCCGTCATACCTTTGTTGAACAACCAAACACATGCTCATCAGTTTCTCAGTCTCTAACTGGAAGGTCAAGTTCAGGTGTTAACTGCTTAGCTGAATTGTCCAGGGTTGTCCTTATAAGGATACAAGCTGCAGTACCTTCGATCAGGCCCCTGCCTGTGAAACCTCCCGCCTCCTACATCGCATTGCTCACACCCCATCCTCCCAATCAACACCCACATTCCCCTGCTCAGACCATACAAGGCAGGTCACAGATAAGATCCATCAAAAACCTTTGTCTTTGGCAGTGAGTCTCAAATTGATCACTTCTGACAAACATGGGTGTTATAAATAATGAAATATCTGGAGTGTGTCTGGACATAACCTCCTGACTCACAGAGTTGTCTTTTTGGAGTGTAATCGAGGTGTGGGCCTTCAGACTGACAGGCAGTAGCAGCAGCAGTGTGTCGGTCAGTACGTTTACAGAGATCAGATAATCCACCTGACAGAACAGCAGCTTGTGCAGGAGCTGAATGAGTCAATCATCAGACAGACTTGTCATCGCTTTGACTAATCAGTGTCCCTGGGTGTGATGGTCGCTGGCAAACCCAGCATCCTGACCTGCATTTATAACTGACATTTCTGCTTCTGGAGAAAATGACATTTACTGTAAGTGCAAAAAGACAAATGATCAGAAACAGAAACAAAGCTTCTGTTTTTCTGTGCTTAGGAATAGGGGTGTGACGATACACTTAACTCACGAGATGAGACGGTACACGATACCGGGTTCACGAGAGCAAGACGAGACAATGTTTTAACACTATTTTAAAGAAATCTTCGATGATGAAATATGTGCCTGGAAAAGTCGTCTTTTTCAACTGAAAGTCACAAAACACTGCAGGTGCACTGTGAAATGTTTTAACTGATCATCTTGTAATGAATGTCACTTCAGTTCTACTTTCTGAGTATGAATCATCATATGCGGTAAAAGACAACAATATGCAAAGACTGTAAAATGTTTTCACCACCAACTCAACTGACTGGCTTCTCTCCTGTACGATTTCACATGAGTCTCTTCTGACCTTATAACTGTGCATGAACTATGCATGAGCTTCTAATTGAAGCTGCAGTTTCCCACAGAATTACATTCTATTTGTGGAGGCAGCTTGGGGATGGGGGCGTCACGCTTGCATTTTAAAAATTAAATATAGTGATGGTATAGTGCTGTTCATCTGACCTGTCCCTTCTGATGTATTTAAATGTATTTAAAAATCTTAACTATTCCTTTAAACAAGGGTGAAAAAGTGAGGCAGCCACGTGTCCCCAGTGCCCCCAGTGCCCCCAGTATCTGAAGTTGCTGCAGGGAAATGAGCAGGAGACGACTCCGTATCCATTTCTCAGCCACTCAGTCATCTGTCAGGGTGCCTGCTGCTCTCTGTAAAAAAGTCAGAAAATTGAAAAATATCTTAATAGACTTCCCGGGGACTCTCTGATGCTGATAATCCTGCATCTGCTCGCTGTCATAGTTAGCACAGTCAGACTGTAAATCTCAACAGGAGCTGCTCAGCGAACCAATCATCTGCCCCGGTCGCGCTGTCAGGGCTCTGTCTCGTTTGTCCTGATCAATGGGGTCACACACTGACATCCCAGTGGAGAGGGAGCATCTCAGGAGCATCCACTTCTCCCCCTGACAAGAAGTTTAATGTGCATGCTCCTAGCTTAGCCTGACGGGTACAATTAAAGGAGGAGTGTCACCATTTTACATTCAGGAATTATCCAATGCAATTTCTTGAATCTGCATTTAGTTGACAGTGTTAAGGACTTGCACTAGCTTGGAATCACCCAGAAATATGTACATTTTGATGTAAATGCATATTTTTTTATTCACAGGAAGAATAGCTATGTTGTAGCTAATAGGAATTTTAACAAACAAACAGTAGAAGCAATTAAATTGATTAGATCTGGGCTTTTAAACATTAATTAAGGGCTTGAGTTAAAGGTTCGTCAATAGGATGGGGCTTTGCAATTTTATGTGAATCATCTGCACCAACAGTAGTCTCGGCTATTGAATTAATGCTCTCGATGGATTAAAAAGATCAATTTTTGTCTATAATATGAATATTTTTGGTTGATTTCTCACTTTTGATTGCTCGTCTACAACAAGAGTTTAGCTGCTGAATGTGTTTTCTTCCAGTTGGTGTTCAAACCTGTGAGCTGCCACTAACATGCTCAACACCTCCCTTCTTCTTTGTCTCTGCCACAGCTGATCCTGCATGAACACTGTCAGGGTTTGATCACTTTCATAATTAACTGAAACATCTTGTTTGCTGTCACTAATAAGAAGTTTCCAGTCAGGAAGGCGCCATCTACT